ATAACAGACATGCAAAAGGTGAGTACTTGTAGTTTATTGTTATTTTCCTACTACTATTTCACTTAAAACTACCATTGTTCACTTTGCAGGGGCTTGGGAATGCTATAGCAGATCTGCTTCCAAATTTTGAGCATAGGATATGTGCAAGGCACATCCTAGCTAACTGGTCTAAGAAATGGAAGGGCATAGAGAGAAGGAACTACTTTTGGAGGTGTGCAAGGTCTACCTATGAGTGAGAGTTGAGGAAAAATCTGGATGAAATGAAGAAATTAGGGAATAAGATAGTTGATGAACTGTTGTACTACAACATTGAAAGATGGAGTAAGGTGTAATTTCAACAAATTCTGCAAGTGTGATAGTGTTGACAATAATATGGCAGAATGTTTCAATGCTTGGATTTTGGCAGCAAGGCAGGAGACTATAGTGATAATGCTTGAAGAAATAAGGGTGAATATGATGAACAGAATAGGTCAACTCAGACAGTTTGAAAAGACTTGAATTACTGATTTTTCACCAATGGCCATGAAAGTTTTGGAAGAGAACATAGAAGGGTCAATAAAATGTAACATTTTCTGGAATGGTGAGTTTGGATTTGAAGTGAAGCAAGGATCAGGTGCAAGTGAAGTGAAGCATCTGGTGGACATCAACAGGCAAACATGCACCTGCAGAGCTTGGATGTTAAAAGGCATACCATGTGCTCATGCAGTTGCTGGCTTGCATTATAAAAATCTGGAGCCTTTGAACTATATTTCTCACTGGTACAATAATGCCACTAACATAAAAACATACAATTACTTTCTTCAGTCTATCTTGGGTATGAATATGTGGCTAGAGTCACACAACCCAACTGTTATACCATCTCATGTCAAGAAGATGCCAGAAACGCCAAAGAAGGTTAGAAGAAAAGAGCCAGGTGAAAATAAGACAGGAAAATTGTCCAAAAGTGGAGTGGAAATGACATGTAGCAATTGTCATAACAAGAGGGGGTGTCATAAAGCTACTGGAAGTAATAATGTTGCTGCTTCAGCAAGTTCTGTGCCTGTAAGTGTTGGTAGTTCAAAGCCACCAAAGCAAAGTACTGGAAGAGGAAGGGGTAGGCCAAAAGGTTCTAAAAAAGGTGAAGTTCTTCCCTTTAATGCCTTCTTTCTCTCTTTTAAATAATTACCAGATTCTTACTTTTGATTGGTCGATGTAGGATGTTGGTACTAGCACTGATGTAAGAACACAATATAAGAAGCCAAGAATGGTTGGGATGTGAGTTTTACACACTCAAAGTGGCTTCAAAATTCAAAATGTAAGTCTAACACAACCTCTCATATTTAAGTGAATTCATTGTCTGATTTTCTATTGGATTTTGGCAGCCTGGAATGTCATCTGCAAACTTTAAGAATGTGAGGTCTTCGGCAGAAGTAACTGGAGATCTAGGCTATCAAACAACACTAAGTGTTAAATGGAAAGGTAAAGAAGCTATGACATCAAGGCAGCTTCAACAATTGAGAGGCAAAAAACTCATTCAAACAAGGTCTAAGATTGCTAAGTTGAGCCAGGAAAGCACCACTGCAAATCAACCCAATTGATGAAGATATTGTTTTGTTGATAACTGTATTGTAATAGACTGCATTATGCTAAAATTTTAAGCAACTATAGACTGTAATTCTGTATTATGATAAGGATTTTTAGGTAGCTATAAACTGCATTTCGCATTTTGTTACATTTGGTGTCTGTTTTGCTGCTGCTACAATGACAACAAACATCTGTTTTGTTAACTCATTTTGTGACTTTTATTATGTTTGTTTCTTTTAGGTCAATGAGACCAAATATGTGTTTCAATATAGTTTATGCAGCTGCCATATTAAGTCTTTTGTGTGTCTATTGTTGATTGCCAAGTTCTGAAGTTTATGCAGTTTACTTCACAATGTAAAAACAACGCTTCATTAGAAACAACAATTGATAAGACAAAATATTGAGATGACAAAACTACAACAGGCTTACATTCAAATGAAAGATCCATTGCAAACATACAAAATAAAACCTACAAGCAACAACTACATATATATTAAGATGACAAAACTAGATTCACAATGGCAATCTCATTGCATCTTCTTTCAATGACATTCCTGGATACCTACAAGCAACAAGTATAATACACATCCCCAATATAATGAACCAAAGTACATTTTCCCTAACCTTTGACTTAGCCAATTTACTCTTCCACTTCTTTTCTTTCTCTTTAATCTTCTCCATATCAACTTGCAATTTTACCAATTGAGCCTCAGTCTTCTTCATCTTGTCCCTTCTATGATGTTTTCAACCTTTAAAGTTGTCCTCGGCTTGGCAAGATTTTCAAAGCCTTCTAATGCATTCTCAAGTTCACCCATTTTGTCAAGCAATTTTGGAATAACAAATTTGGACCTAGGATCAATTTCGGAATCATTCCAAACCCAAAAATCACAAGATCATGAACCCTAAGATGAATAACAAAAGAAAATTAATCAATGATAATTTTTCATAACTCAATTATTGAAAGAATTTTTACTATCATTTACCCAATAGTATGGACAAACCCAATATCTTCTTCCTGGGTTCCGAGGGGTCCAAGCTATTAACAAAGGCAACACATAGCCATGGTTGCATCGAATTTTTTCACTTAACTCATTTTCTTCCTCTTCCGTGCAAAGACTTGTCAAATTCAAGCCTTTTGAAGGCATTGCAACAACTACAACACAAACAGACAATATCAAAGTCAGATAATTTGCATTTGCTTTCAAAGATCAGATAATTGGATTTTAGAGGAAAGACATAACAGTAATAAAAGAAAGAAATTAGGGTTCTTAAGAAGGAGAAAGATTAACCTTTGCCTTCAAAGATTAAAACTTCAAAAGGCAATTTGATGGAATTTCGGCAGAAATTAGAAGAAGAAGAAGAAATTAGGGTTCTTCAATTGGGTTTGATAAAATATTGGGGAAGAGGGGATTTTACCATTGGTTGGGGGTTATATTAACATTAATTTTTTTTTGGGTGTTTTCAACGATTAAAAGAGATTAAGGACGCGCTCAATTCGGTTGTCTAAGACGCGCGGCTAGCCAGGCCTTAGGAGGGAGTAAATAAATATAATGCTTTAAACAATAATGGGGCGTTAGGACACCCGTAAAGTTTAGGTGTGTAAATAATTTTCTAGGACAAGTTGAATGTGGTCTTTATGCATTTTCTCTCTCTCTATATATATATAGATTCACGCTCTCTTTACGCGTGCATACCACGCATTCCATCCTAGTCACATAAACAAAGGCCAAATAAGCTTGGTCAACGGTCATAGGAGTTTATAATATTTATTTTGATCAAGCACAAGTGTTTAAATGAAACTTCGTGGAGTAAAGGGACCGAAATAATAAATCGGAACAAATATAGGTGTCTACTAGGCTATTCTGCCTTTAATTTCCTTTACCAAATACCATATTAGTTTTATGGTCCAGTTTGGAATTGAAACTTCCACGTTTTTACACCCCATTATTTGAAACTATCACTTTTTTTAAAACTCCAACTATTCTAATAAAATTAGAACTAGTAGTCGTACCCGCACGATGCGCGATCAATATTAAAAGATATTAATTAAATTAAATTATCCTAAATTCCCAAGTGACCTATTGTGAGGTTGCCACTTAGCTTAATGTGTAGGCTTTTTCCTCTCCTATTAATAATATATAGATAGTTTTTTTTATTTTTTTATTATTATATTGTTCTCAATAATATTTTCTGAATTTTAATCAATAAATACAATTTTTATTTATAAAAAACAAAAATTATTTAAACAAAAGAAATAAAAAATTAACTAATCTAAACCAACACTCACCCATGTTTAAGTAGTTAATTTTAGGTAGTTAATTTCTTTATGTCTTTTTTTTTCAATTTTCTTTTTTTTTTAAATAATTTTTTAAATCTCCAATTTGAATGGACAGTTTTTTTTAATTTTCGTTTTTATTATAAAATATTTTATTTTATTACTTAATAGATATTTAAATTCAAAAACAATAACCAATAACTATTATTATTAACTACTTATGTTATGTGACTTTTTTCTAGGCTGTCACTTTGCTTAAGAAGAAGACTTTTTTCTCTCCTTTTAATAATATAATAATATAAAGATAAAGATTTTATCCTAAAAATATACACTTTGTATCTAATATTTTGGTGTCACTTGCATTCTAGGAGATATAATTTTTTTTTTTTTATCGTTGCACATAACTTAGACGTTTGAATTACCTTTGGTAAACCTGTAATTAGGGGTCATGGTTCGGTTTGGATCGGTTTTTCCCTAAAAAGAAATCAAACCAAGTAAGTCGATTTTTCAAATATTAGAACCAAACCAAACCAATTAAGTCGGTTTTTCTCGATTCGGTTTATGTCGGGTTTTGTCGGTTTTTCGGTTTTTTCGATTTTTTCGATTATTTGTCGGTTTTTTCTTAATTATAAGACATACAATACCAAACACATATTTCGGAGACCACATTTTTAACGTAACACTATCAAATCAATTGCCCTTTAAGAAATCTATTATTTACCAAGATATATTGATGATAATTGAATCACATAGTGATGAATAATTTATGGACTCAATTAAAAATATATTATTTTTAATACGAATGGATTCTTAGCTTAACAAAAGAAAACTACCAATCAAACTAGAATATAAAGGTAAAGAACTATACTAAAAATGCAAACTGCTAATATTTACTATTAAATTTTTGAAATTTTGTATAGAAATATACATACATATATATATATATATATNTTGTTTTTTTTTCCGTTTTTTTTTCTGATTAAAACCAAAATCAAAACCAAACTAAATTTAATTAATTTTTAAAATTCAAAACTAAAATTAAACCAAAAAAAAAAGTATTAATTTTTTGGTTGGTTTGGCTTGCTTTTCCGTTTGGTTCGGTTTTTCGGGTTTGTATGAACACCCTGTATGCTGTCCCCCGTTTTACTACAGCTTACATACAGGTAAAGATAGAGACAGCATAGATCAGAATTAGAGCTCAGATTTAGCAATTCACCTCTTTGTCTAAAAGTCTCATCTCTCTCTTCAAATCAGAGAGAGAGAGAATGGATAGTGTGTTTTCTGTGGACGATATTGCAGACCAGCTGTGGTCATCGCCGCCGCCGATGCGGTTGTCTCATGAAATGGATTCGTCTTCCACCACGTCGTCGTCGAAGATGATGAACAGGAGCTCGTCGGAATGGGCTTTTCAGCGATTCCTTCAAGAGGCCACAGCCGCCGACACTACTACTTCCTCGTCTTCTTCGCAGCAGATCAAGGATCAGACGCTTAATCAGAATTTAATCGCTGATCAACCGAAGCCGCCTATGTCCAATACGGCATCGTTTGGCTCCGAACCTCCTCCGAATATTCCGATTGATTCCGATGAATACCAAGCTGTCCTCAAAAAACGCCTTGATTTGGCTTGCGCCGCCTTCGCTTTGACTCGTGTAATTTTTTTCTTTTGGGCTTGTTGTTACGTTATTTTGTTTTTTGCTTTTCTCCACATTTAGGATTAATCAAAGCAATTTTATCCTCAGGCCAACTGTGTAAAACCTCAAGATTCAGTTTCTTTGCCATCCGAAAAAGGATCACTGTCGGCTACTGCATCACAATCTGGATCTCAGGTTCCTCCAAAAGGTTAGGGTTACCAATTAAACTGAATATACTGTTTTTCCTTGTTTTTTTCCTTCAAAATTTATGCATCGCGTTGGTTTTCAGATGCTGGTGTCTTCCGCAGGAAATTTCTAGTATTGTTGCTTACTCTTGTTCATAAAAAAATTATGAAATTAACATATAGGTGTTTCACTATTCATTAGACCTGTGTCATTACACTTGTTAACCATTTGGACGACTTTTAAGGAAGGGTTTTAAANTTGTAAATTGCAATTTTATCCTCAGGCAAACTGTGTAAAACCTCAAGATTCAGTTTCTTTGCCATCCGAAAAAGGATCACTGTTGGCTACTGCATCACAATCTGGATCTCAGGTGCCTCCAAAAGGTTAGCGTTACCAATTAAACTGAATATATTGTTTTTCCTTGTTGTTTTTTTCAAAATTTATGAATCGCGTTGGTTTTCAGATGCTGGTGTCTTACCCAGGAAATTTCTAGTACTGTTGCTTACTCTTGTTCATAAAAAAATTATGAAATTAACATATAGGCGTTTCACTATTCATTAGACCTGTGTCATTACACTTGTTAACCATTTGGAGGACTTTTGAGGAAGGGTTTTAAACTTTTTTTGGAGAAGCAGTTTTGTAAGAAAGAAAAATATGTTTGTCCATTGTAGTTTTCTTTTTTCTTTTGGTGAGTTGTGTGTGTAACTGAGTTTTTAAATCAAAAGCACTTTCAATGCTGTTCATCATTCATCATTGATCTTTTTTTTTCCTTTCCCGAAAAGATCACCTTTGCAAAAACTTGAGCAAACATGTTTTTCGAAAAAAAATTCCGAAAATTCCGAAAAGCTTTTCACAAACAGGACATCCTGAAGCAAGCCTTTATTGGGAAGGATGTTCAGCAGGACACAAGAGAGTAGCCATACCTTTCAAGCTAGCATAGATATCAGTGGGAGATCAAACAAATGATTCATGCAATAGCATGAAAGAAGTCTTACTAAACTAAAGAAGCAGATGAAGCATCGGGTCACTTTTCTCTTACCAAGCTTGCAAGACCATAACAAAGTATTATATTTCGGTGAAATGGTAGTATATAAATGGATCTGTGTCCATCATTCGCGCAATAACTACAGTGCATTGAAAATGTAAGAGGCATAATATTGTTGACCATTAAAACACGTTTCAATTAACGATGAGTGCAACCAAACATAATATACGTGCTTATAGATAACAAGGAGAAATAAAATCTGGTTTGGACCTCTCTTTTGAACATTCTAATGATTTTTATGCTCTTCTTTAGTGTGTCTGCCGAGTGAGTTTCTTGCATTACCAATTCTAGCTTGACTTACCTTGATGGCTTGTCAACATTCTATTAGTTGAAGGGAGCATGTACTTGCTGTAGTCTCCACTCCCATCAACCAGTCCAGGTTTTGCTAGTGTGTAAGGCCTCATGACTTTCATATGATAAAACACTGTGCAAATACTATGCGTTTCAGTATTTTGTTGTTGTCACGATACGTCGATCCCAAATCCCACCTAGTCTTGATGACACCTAAACCTCAACATGCTGGGTAAGCCAAACAATGAATAGTACAACTCAAATGAAAGATCATCAATAATCAATAAAGTAGATGGCTGAATTCCATACAAAAGCTCAAGGATTTGTAGTTCAAATCATGAGCGACTAAGATTAAAAATACAACTCTGGTACGAAGAACTAATACAACATCTATTTGAAATTTACATAAACAAAAACATAAGTCCTAAACTACCATGAAAAAATGGCAGTTTGAATCTGATCACAACTACATCTTCAATGCTAGCCTTCGACATCCATATCAGCTCAGCTGCAAGTTCTAGATGCAAAGTGCAGAAGTGTAGTATGAGTACAACCCACCCTATGTACTCAGTATGTATTCTGACAAACATCAATGAAGTAGTGACTATGTTTTAAGTCCAAAGATACTCACTATACTTAACCTGTACAACTCAATAATATATACATGTACACAACAACAATATCGAAATCTACGCCTCAAGTACAGATAAGGCCATCGGTGCACATGGAGAGGATATGCACAAGCATTGTAACAAAGCTAAGAATTCAGCATGTAGAGCAGATACGCATTCGATATCAATTAACGCGTCAACAATTGCATATAGAGAAGATATGCACAGGTTGCTTACCAGTTTAACAGCTCAGCATTTAGAGAAGATATGCACAGGTTTTGTACCAGTTTAACAGCTCAACATACTGAGAAATGCGCTTAATATCATTAATTCTTCAACAGTTGCATATAGAGAAGACATGCACAAATAAGCAAGCTAAGTTACCCAAGTTAACATATAAATAAGATATGTTCTGTGACTCAATTCATCAAGCGACATATGGAGAAGATATGCATAAAAGACATGTGTGCATGGTAGCTAGCTTATAGAGAAGATATGCTGTAAAAATCATGTATACATCCAAAAAGTTTGGTGTCATGCCCCGAAACCGGGATGGGACGTGATGGCGCTCAACGTTGCTTACTCATCGAGCAAGCCCTGTTCTATCTAATTGTGAGTGTTGATAAGGTTAATAAATCAAACCAAATACGAATAACTCTTATGTTATATCGATCTAAAACAAAATAGCTAACAAAAGTTTAGCAAAGCTTTATCTGAATTTAAAAATCTGACCCCATTAATGATAGATCATGAGCCTCTAAGGACTAAAACTGAGAACAATGTCTTCGAGGCATTCCTCGAGAATAACATAAATCCGAATAACTGAAAGTTTGAAAATAGGACTACCGTTGGAAGAAATAAACGGATCTGCGTCGAGTAGCAAACCTGAACATCAATGGTTACCAACCATGCAAGTAGGATTAGAAAACATCCGCAATTCAATACTCAGTGCGTCTTCTACAACATACATCATCAGGCGATACAAGATAGTGCTAATATCCTCTTAAATATCTGAAATCTCCCATGCTATCTAGAACTCATGACCTTCATTTCGAAACTGAACCGCAATTTTGTCTGTGCAATCTCAATCCCACACGGCGCATTGCATATATCATGCTAACTGTTACACGACGCCTTCCTGAGATTCCTTGGAAGGGCGACGTAAGGCTAAGCAACTGATGTCAGTGCAGTTGCTGTCCGCCAACTGAGGTCCCCTCCGTACGCTAGACTAGATTGTCAGTGCCGTACGGGAAAACCAATGCCAAGAGCAATTGAGAGTACAGGAATGAGAATTGAGAATGAAAGAAAGCTTGAATGCATTAATGAAAGCTATTACAGAAAGGCAACGCAGTGTCGAAGGGGAGAGACACCAGTACAGAGAATTGTTTGCTTGCTAGAAAGTTTGATTGCTTGATCCCCCCTAATAATGCTTAAAAAAAATAATCCAAAGCTACAAGACTAGACTTNTACAGGAATGAGAATTGAGAATGAAAGAAAGCTTGAATGCATTAATGAAAGCTATTACAGAAAGGCAACGCAGTGTCGAAGGGGAGAGACACCAGTACAGAGAATTGTTTGCTTGCTAGAAAGTTTGATTGCT